TGCCACCCCTCCCTGCCCACAGAATCCCCCATGGTTTGTATTTTAAGTTTGGCTTGGTTTCATATGCTTCATAATTTATTTTCTTGAAGTTCTTGTAATGTACCAATGACTAAACAATTTAAACAATGAGTACATTAGAGGCTAGTTGTATTTTGTGAAGACAGATCAACTTTATTGTGAAGTTTAATTAACCTTTCATTACTGTGTGTTTTCCTGGTTCCTATTTCTTTTGAAAAAGTCTCATGTTTCTATTCAGTGGCTTGAGGTCTTGTGAAACAACATGGAACCTTGGGCATTCTTAATCCATGTCCTTCAAATTCTAATTCATAAAAGATTTTTATCCATCCCTGTGTTTACTATACAGTTATTCCCAGTAGGTGCAATGCAAATTCATTCTATTTTCTGAATTAAAGGTCGAAAACTATTTATTGTTATAGTTTGTTTTATTTGTTTGTTTTTTCTGTTACACTATACCTTTTTTTTCTCATGAAGATGCTTAAAGGATGGATCTCAAATTTGAAAATCATTTTTAATGGTATGTCCTTTTAATTATATGATTTTATTCTGTAGAATAAACTTTCATAAAATCATAAATGTGAATGTTTATTTTAATGTTGATACTGCTAAAATTGATCAATTAATTCACATTCTTAGAGTGGGCATTTTAAAGTTAATTTTAAGAACTAAATAGTTATATCCATATACACAAATATCTAAATGTACATTACAAATGAACATTTATACAAATTTTCATGCATTTGAATTTTATTTTATTTTCATGTTACCATATACAAATAAAATTAAAATTATTTTGAAAGGTAGTGCCCAATTTAAAATATTTCCCAATATATCATGATATTATTAAATAATATAATGCAATGTTGAAACATTTTCTATTAATTTTAAACATAATGGATTTAGTCAACAATTCTAAGTAGCATATAAAGGACAGAATGATAGGCAAAGAGGATTTGCAAAAGTGTATAGGAAGTTCTTCATCTTCCTTCCTTTCTCTCATTTTTCTTACCTTAGAAAATCATCAGTCATATTGGATGTATTTTCTGAAATGAGGGATAAATCCACTGGGACTTACCAGCTTTCTCAACACACAATGCAATGCCTGTATCAATTTTTTGTCCCATAAAATCAGAAGAAATGAATGGATGAATATAGCAATGTTAGTTTATAAGAAAAGTTTGTGCAATCACATTGTCAATAATGGAGTACACTGACATAATATATTGTTGTTGATATAATATGTGATGAAGAACAAGAGGAATGAAATCATAGTCTTTATAGCTATTATGCGTGCTTCTGTGTTTGCATCCTTGACATGTATGTCCTGTAGTTTCATTCTCCTAGTGTGGCTCCATAAAGAGAATATTAAAAGATGGAATGAGTTAAGAGTCACTACAAAAATTATAACAAGAATCACATTATATAGGATATGATAGACTAAGAAACCATTTAGAATATTGAAAAATTGTGAGTGTTGTATATTTTTCCATTTTGTCCATTTGTCGATAAAATTGTTCACTATTGCTTTTATGAAAATGAGAAATATGAATAAATAGATGATTTCCTTAGGTCAGTAGTAAGAAACACTTTATAAAGTCTCTATTTAATCCAGAATAAAACTGGATTAGAAGGATGCCTATTTGAAGAAGAAGAATACACTGATGTAGGTGGTACAGGCTGCACATAAATAGTTGGATTTGTCCAGATGTCAAAAATATTAGCAAATTTTTAGATGAAAATAATGTCTTGTAGAATTTACTAAAAGGGATATCTACAACTTTTATCCACAGAAAACATATTCTGAAAATGGCCAAGCAGATGGAAATAAATTCAATTACAGAGATTTCCTGATTCTTGAACCAGGAAGTGCTGTTCATTGGTACAATAAACCCACTTTATGAATTCTATGTAGAAATTACCACAGCCAGTCTCCTATAGGCTTGACATGTCTGTTAATAGGCTATCTCTGCCTTAATTCATCAGAGGCAGTGGGTCCCAACTATACTAGTGTAGGTGTGTAAATCCAAATCTGAGTTGGACAATGAGTGCCCCTGGAAAGCCTAAAGGTATGCTCTCAAGTGAGTTCTTAATTAAATGGTAGAGTTTGTATTATTTTTTTATGAGCATATCAACTACCAATTTTCAAGGATGATTTTATATTCTCTGCTGGTTTCAACAACGATTGTATTTTAAATATGAAATTTTGCATTGGAATTTTGGTATTTATTTGCTAAAATGTAAATAGTGATACATTTTTAATGCCATCCTTTGCATGAGATTTATTCATTTTGATATGTGTTTGCATCTGATCCATTCACCATTCATGCTGCTACGAGACCTGAGCAAAAATCCAGAAAATGCTGCATTTGACTTGAGTTTATGATCAGTGCTTATCATTGTTATGAATTTCATGAATACACGTTTTTTTAGTAAGCATGAAAAATTTAAGAAAATAGATCAAGCTTATGTTATGTTTTAAGACTTTTATCAATTGATTTTATGTTGCCATAATAAAACACCTCGACAAAAATCAAACTAGGAAATAAATGTTTTATTTTGGCATGTAGTCCACTTTGGAGGCGAAAGATTGACAGCAGGGAACAAAAGGCTGGCCTGACAGTCAGAAAGCAGACTGTTCACATTTTATCCATACGTAGGAAGTAAGCAGAGAAGGAGAATAAGAAGTAAGCCCAGGTTACAAACTTCAGAGACATACTTTGTTCAGCAAAAATATTTTTTCTTAAGGGTCCATAACTTTTGAAAACAGCATTAGCACCTGGGAATCTCATGTTCAAACATGTGAGTCTGTGAGGGACATTTCATACTCAAACCAGAACAATTCCAATCTTTAACACTTGTCACAGTTTTAACACAGGACGTTATTTGATCTTCCTTCCCTGGGTACTTGTAACGTATGTCTTCCCTTCTTTAGTCTAACATTTTGTTTCATAACTGTAACTAAAACAAGGAATTCTGAAAGTAAATCATAAAACATTGTGTGATTGCGAACTGCTAACTGGAATATTTGCTCCTAGGACACAGCTTGTTAGGTAAACTGGCCTGACTATTATGATCCACAATATGTGAATCATGTAGAGATGTCAAACAGGCCCCATGGCAACTGTTGCATCTAAGTCTTGTTTCTAATTCTTTCTATTCCATGACATGCACCAAGGTTATAAACCAATATTTATAATAGTTGAATGTTCCAAGGGAATACATAGCTATTAGCCACATCATGCACATGTGTGTTGCTATAGTCTGTAGATGAAATCTCCTCCCACTGGCTTGTTTTTTTGAAGTACTGCATCTTGGAGGAGAACCTACAGCTACTACTAACTTACTAAATCAGAATAAATGTTTACCCTTATACATAAGCTTTGACTTCACCCCCAAAGGACATTTCTCTTTGCAACAGAAAGAGACTGCCATAGAAAAGTCCAACCAACCAAAATGCAAAATTGTTGAACCCAGTCTCAAATGATATGCCTACAAAACAGCTCCTGCAGCTAAGGCTCAGAGATCATTGTGGAAGAGTCCGGAAAGACTGGAAGAGGTAAAATATCAGAGAGTTTCTTGAGAGATTCTGTTTGCTATGAATGTCAGAAGCTACACCCATAATATCTCACTGTTTGCCTAATCACGAGCTGAACAAGGACAGCCAAAATAGACATATCAAAATGGACAGGGGAAAGAGTCATGAGGTCTCAACCCTCAACAAAGAAATAGAGAAAATAAAGAAATTCTGAAAGTAGAAGAAATAATCTTCTCTGGCAAAGACTATTTATCCAATACCAAATGGTCAGCCCAGAAACAAGCAACATTATACAGACTAAGCAGGTTATATTTACATATTTAGAAATATATACACATATGCATATATGTATCAATAATTAATAAAATATGAAGCCATAAGTTTAAAAGCAAGTGTGGGAGATAGGTAAACCTAATAATTGTAATTAACTTAAAAAATTTTCATGACAATGTTTCTAATGCATTATCAAAATAAAAATCAGTGCAAAACTACTAATTATAACAATTTTTTAAAAAGTCATCTTCCGTTTTCATATGTATAAAGTAGTTTTAATTACAAAGTCTGTACAATGTATTTGACATTTCCCAGACTAGTGTTAATAAACTCATAGATAGTTAATGCAGTCAACTTCACCAGATATGACATTGTCTCTCTAAGTTTCAATAGGGCACAAATGAAATCTATCAAAATTTTAGAGCACAATAATAGCAGTAACAATTGCATGAGAAAAAGTAAAAACCAGCCCATCTTAACTGTTTCTTTTTTGTGTGTCAGTCTCTGGGAAGCAGTCACAAAGTTTTCTGTATATTGTCCCAGTGCTTGGGTTTCTGATTTATCCTGTATATTTTTTTTCATCGAATGCATAAGTTCTGACTTAAAGATACACAAGTGTATGTTGGAAATCAACCACTTGTTTAATAGGACTTGGTTCTTAATCCCTTTCCACAGGATTTTCTGGGTCAACCATATTCACATCACCATTCTTTGCCTTGGATAGCAAACTTTTGAGTCTTCAGTACAACATGTTTGAGGGATGATCTGAGAGGGCTGGAGCAAAGAGGATGCCTCAAAATAGGATGGTGCTCTTTGTAATGTCATTACTCACATGCATATTATAAATATAAATTGTATATATGACATCATAGGTTTATCTATGTTCTGAAAAATTTAAAAACTTATCAAAACTTTATAATACATTTACTGTAAAGATTTCCTATGTTTAAATATGTTTTGTAAGTATTCTTTCATATAAAACTTTACTAAGACAGAAACTTGACATTTGCTAAACAGCTCTATGGTTTGGACAGTGATTTTTCTAAACACACTGGTCAAAATTTATAAAGTTTAATATATAAATTATATAGACAATATAAGCCTTTCTCATGAACCATTTTTCGTATAGAATATGTGAACTGATCTCTGAAGTGGTCTAGGGATGTGAAGGTCCTTAATCTGACCTGAACCTCATCCACTGCAGTAGAGAATGCAAGGCTTGTCTCAGTTTACTATTTCCCAGAATCTGTACACATGAGTGAACAGCAGGAAAAGTTATTAGGGTAGCCTTTGTAAACAGGAGGATTTGAATATTCTCTAGTTGAGATGTACAAAATATCGCAATTATAGACAAAAAGAAACATATGTAAAGTACGAGAAAGACGATCACCATTTGTAGTGCCTTTATGTGGGCTGTGGTACTGATGTCTCTGCAGCCTTTGGCAGTGTGCTGCATGCTCTTCAGATGTCTCCACAGGGAGAAGATGAGCAAGAGAAAAGCCGTCAAGGACATAGTGAAGGGGATGACTGTAAATATAAAGCTGGGGAATATGAGTAACCTAAAGAACTGTGGGAAAGTTCTTACAATGGAAGTGTAAGATGCATTTCTTCTAGATTCATTAACCATGGTATCAATATTGCCGTTTATCATTAGGATATTTAAAAACAAGAGGAAAAGAGACAATAGCATTGCCACTGAAAGCACCTTTTTAAATCTCCACTTTAGGTAGAGGAACACAGAGTTAGAGAAAACAGCTATCTTGAGAAAATAAAAGATGCTGAGGCTGGTAGCAAACCAGATGCTGAAATGATTGGTTACCGTCCATGTGATATAAATAGCTCTTACCATACATCCTGTAGTCAAAAAATCTGGGTAAACTGCAGAAATCCACCAGTCTACGAATATTACCGAAAGCACTGAGATTCTGGAGACAGCCAAGGCAGTGAGAATCTGATCCACTGAAGAGATGTTTCTTCTCTTGACCCAGTCCACGGTGTTTGCCACAGCTATGAATCCATTCCCCAAACTTCCAACTACGAATTCTGTATTGAAAAGTATTGTAAGTGTGATCATTAGCATCATGCCCATTCTCCTTGAGACAATGCCCCAATGCTAGCGTTCACAGACAACTCCTTTGAATTTACTTAAAATGCCGCAAATATCTGATTCATGAAAATGCAAGGACATTCTCCATGTTTAAACAGAATGCCGCAAAGCAGCCAAAGGTCTTGTGGCTTTCTTTTCACAGTTCACCTGTGCTTCATACAGATTCTGTGTCCTAGCAACAGCAGCTCAGCCTTTTGTCCCCAATGAAGACACTGAATTCTAAAATGCTGCAAGTAGGTAAATGTGGGCGCATTTGCAAGTCTCCACTGGGCACATATCAAACCTGTCCTATTGTGTTTGAGTCTTTAACGGTGTTAAGTCTCACTATTTAATATGCTACTTTCTGAGAACTGAGCTTTCTTTAAAGCTTGAAAACAGCCTGCAGGATCAGATGTGAATATGTCATTAAATGCACTTTCTAAAACTATCAGCTATTTATCGCACTATTTCTTACATGTTCAGTAACAAAAAACTATATTTTCTGTTTACAAAATTATCTCTCTCTCATATGCAAACACACACATACACAGGGAGAGAAAGAGAGAGAAGTGATTTCCAATAAACATTTTATTTGGATTAAAATCCTTATTATTAAAATTTAATAATAATATTATTATTATTAAAATTTATTTTTTAACATAATAAATGTGTATATTATACTTAAATTGTATGGATAACTAAGAGTTCATTTAAAGTGCTTTCAAGTATACATTATTAAATACAGGTGGCTAATAAATTTGGAATATTTTATCTGTGTCTGTGAATGCAGGAAGAAATTCATCTGTTGTCACATGAAGCCTACATTGAAATGAATGAGTTCATTTACAAGTGAGAATCCTTAATCTCTGCCTCCTTCTTGCTCAGATGGCACTTTCTTCCATCAGCATAAATGACGGTCTGCTTTTTTAAATTTTTTTTTCATTTTAAAACAAGCTTTTCTCACTTTATATACCAATCCCACTTCCTGCTCCCTCTCTTCCTCTTGCTCTTCCCACCCAACCCCCGACTCCCCATCCACTCCTCAGAGAGGATAAGGCTTCCCATGGGGAGCCAATGAACTCTGGCACCTTACTTTGAGTCAGGACCAAGGCCCTCCCCCTATATCTCAGCTAAGGTGTCTCTCCAAAAAGAATGGCCTCCAAAACGCTAGTTCAAGACTAGGGATAAATCCTGGTCCTACTGCCAGTGGCCCCACAGACTGTCCAAGCCACACAACTGTCACGAACATTCAGAGGGCCTAGTTTGGTCATAAGTGGATGTTAGAGGTAAAGCAAAGGATAACCAGCATATAGTCCATGACACAGAGAACCTAGGTAACAAGGAGGACCCTAAGAGACATACATATACATGAATCCCAATGGGAAGGGGAAATAGGCAAGATCTCCTTACCTTCCACAACATTAACCTAATAGCCTTCAGTAGTTCCTATGCTTCTCTCAAATCTATTTTATGCATATTTATGTAATAAGAAACTTGATTATCCTCTATTCCCATAAATAGATTTATTCACGGTAGGGTATATCTACTTCAAATAGAAACAGATTTTTTTTTCCCACAAGTCTCCTTCAAGAACATCAGTACCAGTGGATTTAAAATTCACTTGTGTAAAATGATGTAGGATTGGTAACAAGCTACTAATTGCAGGTGGTGGTGGGTGGTGGTGTTGGTGGCGGTGACACACACTTTTAATCCCAGCACTCATGACGCAGAGGCAGGCAGATCTTGACTTCACGGCTAGTGTGATCTACAGCCTGGATTCAGGACTGCCAGGGCAATGCTGAGAAGTTTTTGTTGTGGGACATTTGATCCCAATGTGACCCTCTAAGACTGTTAATAAATTTTACCTTGAATCACAGGGTGGAGCCAGCAACTAGCTGAGCTGAATTGGCCACAGAGAAGACACATAGGAAGGAAAGGGCAGGGATTCCGGTTTGGGTGCTCTCTTTGGTTTGGGGATGAGTGAAGAGACATGTCTTGCTGGCTCTTTGGCCAAAAAGCAAGGTCAGCTGGCTGCCCCTCGACTTCTCCGACTTCTCCGATCTAGCAGATTTTCACCCCCACATCTGACTTCTGAGTCTTTGTTGGTGAATAGAAGGGTAGAGATTTAGTTTAAACCTACGCATCACAAACTCCGCAGAGCCAGGGATGCTGGATCACAAGTCTCTCCAAGTGGTGGCCTGGGATTTGAGAGCTGGTTGGTGGCCCAAAAGAAAAAGTCTGTTACATGTAATAGATTTTTATAGCTGCAAATGACAAGACAAAAATGGTTAAAATGGTTAAAATAAAAGCCGGTTGAGTAAGGCAGTTGACTTCTAACTAGACTACAAAGGAACAAAACGTTATTCCTCACTCTAAGTAAAATTTGCAAAATCACAGAGTAAAATACAAGAGAATATATTAAAAGTACTATATTTTTAAATATATTTTTAATATTAGAATTATGCATGATTTTTCTTTGTTGTTGTAAAAACTGATTTCTAGAGTTTTCTATGAAACTGGGGATTGTGTATCTTTGGACCTGCAACTTAGCCACCATTTTTCAGGAAATAAGGCTTGTCTGAGATTATTATGTTCAAGAATTAGTACACATAAAATGGACATCAGGAAATGTTATGACAGTGGCCCTCATAATGGAAATCATCAGATTGTTATCCATTTCAAATATCAAAGTGCATACTGATAGGGAGATTAAGAAAATAAAGTAGGAAGAATCTGGTGATGAAGGACAAGGCTTTGATGAAGTGCTGAAATATCTGTATCCTTTGATGTTGGGTTGCATGTTCTTCAAAGAAGGGAAGTGACACAGTGAAGGGGATGAAGTTGAAGAAAGGTGGTAAATAAAATAAATAGAAATCTGGCACTAGGAAAATTTCCAGGGATCCACAAGGATGACTTCCAACTAAGAATCTAAGCAAAACTGGAGAGGCTACCTTAAATACTCTTCCCTGATAATGAGATTGATGATTACCTTATGTGCCATCCTAGAGCCTTCATCCAGTAGCTGATGGAACCAGAAGCAGACACCCACAGCTAAACACTGAGCTAAACTCCTGGAATCCATTTGCAGAGAGGGAAGAGTGATGAGCAAAGGGGTCAAGACCAGGTTGGAGAAATCCACAGAAATAGCTGTCCTGATCAAGGGGGAGCTCATGGATACCAGACTGATACCTAGGAAACCAGCATGGGACCTACCCAGAGCCCCTGGGTTGTGGGTGTCACTTAGGTAGTCTATTTAACCCTAGTGAACAAATGGACTTTGGAAGCCCATTCCACATAGAGGGATACTCTCTCAGCCTCGACACATGGGGGAGGGCCTAGACCCTGCTCCAAATGATCTGATAAACTTTGAAGATTCCCCCATGGAAGTTCTCACACACCCTGTGGGGCAGAAAAGGGATGAGATAGGGAGTCAGCAGGGCCAGGGGTTGAAGGGAGGAGAAGGGAACTGGGATTGACATGTAAAACAAGAATCACTGCATGTATTAATAGTTGGACTATATTATATTACAATCACATTATAATATAATTATACTACATTCACATTATTATATAATTATAATATACTCACCTACATTTGATTTGTATATAAATACATTCATTTGTTTTGTTACTATGGGTTACTAATAGATTAAAATGCACAAAACACTGGTATTTTTGCACAGAATTTCCCTAGATATTTATAGCACTTTGGGCTCTAATATTAATTATGTGATTACTTTTGTCTAGTTCAGTAGAAGCTTTTGATCTTCAGGAATTTTCTTCTACTTTTTGATTCAGTGCTTTCTCATTTTGTTGTAAATTTCTTTTCTCATTTTGTCTAGTTTTATTCATAGGCATATTAATTTTTGAGAATATCTCTGATTTTGTTTTGATTTTTTTATTGTTGTGAGAAAAAAACTTATTTTAAAAAATAATTACTTTGTATTTTAGATTATAGTATCAGTACACAATTTTCCCATGCCTTTTCTCCATCCAAAACCTCTCACATATCCCTCCTTATGCTCTTTCAAATCCATGGACTCTTTTCCCATTAATTACTGACATACATACATACATACATACATACATACATACATACATACATGCTTTTTTTACTTTCTTGGTCTCTTCTATATTTACTACCATAAGTTCAAATAAGTAAGGTGACACTCCCAACTTTTCCAACTGTGTCAGAATAGGTAAATGGCTGATCTCTCAGTAGAGAATAGTACAGTTGGTGAATCCAGTGGAACATAAAAAATAAAAGACCCAGGGATAGACATTGGGGTTCAAGCTTCAAGCTGAAGATCAGAGAAGCAAAGCAGCCAGCCACTAGCTCTTACCTCTACCTCAAACCAAAGGGGTGATCCTCAAAATGCTCTCTACTTCACTGTTCCTCAGATTTACTCAGACTGCTATGCTCTCCACAACATGGTTAGAAATTAAATCTCAGAGCAAATACCAGCTCTGAGACTTTGCTCCTGTCTTATATACCTCCCCAATGCTGGGATTAAAGGTATGCAATTCCACATGCTGAGATCACCTTTGTGTGAGCTGTTTCTTTTAGGACTGCATAAATTTTGTATAGTCAGTGTGGCCTTGAACCAACAGAGAGGGATCTATCTACCTCTTAATCCTGAGTCTTGGGATTAAAGGTGTGTACCACCAGTACCTAGCTTCTACAACTAACTAGTGTGGCTGGATTTGCTTTCTGTACCTTCAGTCAGGCTGATTTATTATTAAATCATAAATAATCTATCACCACAATGTAGCTATCTTGAGCATATATTGCTGAGAATAATAGGGAGGCATGCCCCAATACAGTTAATCACTGCTCTTATTTTCCTCCATAAAACCCTGAATTAATCACACTTCTGAGTATATTAACTTTCTTATACCATTAGAAAAATCTGAAGAAATTCATGCAGAGATAATCTGACAAGGAACCATTTTGTTCCTGCCCCTAAATGTAGTTCATCAAATGCCATGAACTCACTGTCAAA